GATTTTTAATTTACCGCCAACAAAGGTGGAAACTTCCAAATGCATTGTTCCCATCTTGATCATAGATTTCATTGGTCAGTCTACTAAGTAAGATCTACTGCTTATATTTGACGGCTTGTTCAACAACACTTCATTTATCGCAAAATTCAGAGCGTGAGAATATGCTTAGAGCTCTGAACAAGCTCCATCATCTGATAATTGAGTTAATAATCTGGGTTGACAAATGTTGGTGTTGAAAATACAGTTTGTTGTACAAATCTCTGGCCAAAATAACCAATAAAAGTATCACATTTAACTTCGTAAACTTTTACATGTTAGTTAATTTTTTGCAAATAAGTGGAAAAGCTGTTGTATTAACGCTTTAATCCAGCGATTTTCAAGTGACAAAGCAAATTGATATCGAGATACATCAAGAAGATAAAAAGGTAAAAGTTTAATAAAATTAATCGCACGTGCCTAATAGTCGCCTAATTTAATTGCAAATATATCAAAAAACACTGCTGGTCTGTATAGTTGAAAATAAAGGTAGAATGTTAAACTATGTCAGCTTTCTTCACATCCTTCTAACTAACGCAAACACTCTAAATAGGATGTTATAAGCGTGAAAACAATGGGCAAATTACTTCCCTCTATCCGGAATATGGTTCAAGTCATTTAGATAAACTGTCCCCAGGGAACACTTGTGAATAAGTCCGAACTTTGCTTAGCGCCCCTAACTTTATTTATGGTCGTACGCATTTCTCCCTCACGTTTGACTGAAAAAAAATTCTGTGCTGTCCCACGCCAACTGCATTAGCGGCAAAATTTTATTGCCTAGTCTTTTTCAAATCAAGATTCCAGGTTTCCAATTCCCTCTTCTCATAGTTGTACAAAACTATTTTCAGGAGCCCTCCCGAAATCGTAGTAATATTTTTGTCGAACGATTAAGCACTACATTTGTATTTCCCGAGTTGTTTTATGTGCTGGCGACTAGCACACCTTTATGAGATGTGTTACAGAGGTTGTTCCTACCGGACATGGCTGAACTCGACTTCAGCCAATTCTTGGTTTCTGCTTTTACCCCTCTTAGGGTTTTTTTTCCTTAGGTGATTTGAATGTCAGTCTTTCCTACTTATCCGGGCGTCTTGAAATACACAAAGACCATGCCCTTGCTGATGCAAGTAATAGTTGAGCCCCAAATTGATTCGGTCTTCTACCCCTTCCAAATCAATCCGTGTTTGCGTCTTTCGGGACTCATATCGCGATCTTAACAGGTAGATAAGAACATTGTTAATAAACTTTGCAGCGCAAGAGATAAGGAACGCAGTGAACTGTTTAGCCAATTCTAAATTAAGTCAATTATATATTGAGTTATTTTGACTTCTTTACAGTTAAGTACTGTATGCATTGGAGTAAAACAAAAGAGCGAAAACTAGGCTATGAAGCAATAGAGAGGCTATCTCAGGTAATTCACTTCATTACAATAACTTCGTTACAAATGTCCAGACTGTTTAGAAAAGTTATCATGATGAATGTAACTTCACTTATCAATTTTTAATCTAATTATTTAATGGTATATCAAAACACAAAATAGTAAAGTCACATCTTTTAGATTAATTTATATGGCTGAAATTTATTATTTAAAAAATGCTTTTTTTAAAACGAAGCACTGATTGTATTTATAACCAGTTTATTCAATAGAGGGCATTAGTATGTTGTTTTGTTAATTTCAAGACCTAGAAATCTCCTTGTTTCTTGTTTGGAGATTCAAAGATAACAGAAGGGCGTTTTCTATCTAATTGCTGTTTTCATGCCTCCAGCGCTAATTAAGTACGATAATCACACTAGTTAGTAATCTGTACAATGCCGAATGTTACTTTTAATTAACATTAGTCCTAATATCACAGATCCTGTGATTTAAACACCGTATTCTAGACGAACAACGTAACAGTTTAGAATTTTCTAAAATACGGTTAACTCATTTACAGACTAAGCCAAATTTGGCGACACATGCACCATCCCTTACGTATTTAAATGGCAAAAGAAATGACTTAGCAGAAAACCTTGCTCCTAATTGAGAACTTTCGGGGT